CGGTTAGCATTTATTGATAAATTATCTTAGAGAGTGATTTGATGAGACTCCATCGCGAACGGTTAGTGCAGCTCAATAAATTGTAATTTTATTGATTTCTTGTACAACCCTCTTAGGAAAAACAGGTAAAAAAGATTCTTCAGATTCCACAAGGATCGCATATTTGTTACCCCACTTACAAACTTGAGATTCTTCAGATTACATCATTTACTTATGGATGATGACATATGCCCAATCAAACCTCTCTACTTTTTTTCAGATATCAAACACGTCGGAATCTAGTTCCCAAGGCATTCGATAGGGGAAGAATTTAATAAAAAGAAAAAATGAAATGTCAAAAATGTTTTTGGACATGTGTCATCGAACGGGAACAAAAAAGAAAAGTAAATTTAGCCCCAGTAAGTCAGTAACAATTTTTTGGAATTGAATAATAAAAATACATTGTGCAAAATGCAAATCAGAGTCGGAAGCTGGAGCCTACTCTCAGGAAAAGAAAGCCGCATTTTTCTACTTTTAATCAAGGTTGGCAATGGCATCATCTTCGTCTTGTCATGAAATTGCTCGAAATTCAATTGTCTAGTGGCTAAGTGGACAACACTGATTGAAAGTTTCATTTTGTCACCAAAATGCCATCACCCCATGGCCCTAATTATTTTAGCCATATTTGAACTGCTCTCCAACACAAAAATGTAGGTTAGATCAAAGTAATTTGGATGGATTCCTCATTACTTACCGTGTATGTTATTACTTATTAGGCGTGTAAAAAAAAAAAAAAAATCGGACCAAAACAATTAAAGAAAGTCGTATGAAATAAATGGAAACAAATTTGAGCATATATACATAATATAAATATATATATATATATATATATATATATTATACCTGAAAGCAAACATGAACAATCAATTGCATGATTAGCCAGAAATCGAGGGCGATGTATCAATTATTAGCAAACATGGCAACTTCGCCATCGTGGATTCCCACTAGAGATTACTCCAACAGCCGTGCAACTTGGGATATTTACTGACCGGTAAACTAATATAATAGCTTCCGTACCAAGTTAAAAATCGTATTCTCTCTGCTCAATTTAGTTTTTATCAAATTAAAATATTATAACAAATTAGATATTTATTTTGGGACAAAAGAATAGATGCAGTAATGTATTTTTAGTGATTGGATCAAAGATAATTTGCATTAATGCATGTGGTCTTTATAAATATAAAGTGAATTTCTTATTGAAAAGAAAAGGACACAAAAGGATCACAAATCGATCCCAACCTATTTCAAAGCATTAGATTAAACAATGTAAGTGTATGCACCTGTATTCATCTTACGTTAATAATGCAATTTATTAACAAAATAAATATTTAAAATGAGACGAATGAAATAATACATTGAGTTCCATCACAAACTTAATCCATGGTTATGGAATAACGGGGGAAAAAGAAAAACAAAAGAAATATGTGAATGAGGGGGAAGAGGGATAATGGATTGGGAACATCGAACGTAAAACGCAAGCACGCATTGTTGGGAAATGGGGTAAGTAGACATCCCACTCAGGTCGTCTTAAGGAATCTCCTGTGTCCTCACAAATTACAACGGAATCCATCATTTCATTCCACAAGAATTTCAACTTCCCAATTGGTCTGGGATTCTTTGATTCTCGTTTATCTACCATTTTAATCCACAAGGATTCTGATTTTCTTATCTTATTAAAGTATTTAGCAAAAATAAAGACAATGTTTAAAACCTACCTAGAATATTAAAAAAAATTAAAAATAAAAGAGACATTATCCCTGTAAACCATGTTTCACTTGAAGAACACTTTTTAAATACTCCCTCCAGTCCTTAATATAAGGCATTTTGATTTGTCCTAGGTTTACCCTAGTATTTTTTTTAATTGACAAAAAATTCTTAAAAATATTTCATAACAATCAATAGAATATAAGGAATGTGAAAATATATATTTAAAGTTTTTCCGTTAATTAAAAATGCGTACTAAGTGAAACTAAGACAAAATCAAAAGACCTTATATTAAGGACCAGAAGGAGTATATAGAATTATAGACGAACAAATTTATTTGTGATGTAAAATTTTAATACAATTCTAGTTTTCTCCTTATTTAACAAACATGTTCATTAGCTAGTAAAGTAAAGGCTGTGCTAATTGCTATATATATATATATATATATATATATATATATATATATATACACATGTGTGTGTATAATAATTCTTCCGAAATTATCTTTATATAACAAGAATATTCTAAACAGTGGTGTACAATCTTTCGACCGCCCCTGAATTTTGTCGGAGTCACATCCTCTGCCGATTCGGTGAGATCGAAATTCCATTGTCTCTCCATATCTAATCCATAGGGCAGAGAGTGTGTATATGTTCTTTGCGAATCGGGTGTTTTATAGTCCATTATTTATCATCTTTGTAATAAAATTAATGACATCACACATTTTACTTTTCTAATTCTACCACAAAAAAAAAAGGAAATAAAAACCTGAAAGCAAACCTTCTTGTTGTTTTCAATTACGTACAAGAGCAATTTACGTTCTTAATTTGATTGGCAAATCTAGCTCAAATATGGAGTTCCAAAAGTATATTCGTCTGCCTAACTCCATAATAGATCTCATCTGTTTTTCCACTATCTCATTTTTGTTTTTTTACAAGTACGTACCTTCTTAAAATGATTTATCCGTTTTGATTTTAAAATAAGAAAGAGAAATGAAGTTTAATTAACACCTGTAATTCATCAAAAGAGGGAGAGGTCAAAATGCATATATAAGTCGCAAAAAACATTGATACATCGATACATTTCTTTCACGGTAACAATTAATGTTGGATTTGAGCGACTAATCGTACAATTTTACTAACGTTAACCCATGATTCCTTTCGTTTGAGAGGTACAAATGTAGTAGATAACTCAAAATGTAGGTTGACATATATTGGAAAATGTCAATCGTATTGGGGGATAAACATCATTAAATAGAAATGGGTACTTGGCCTAAAAAGAAAAAACAAGTGCTAATCTCATCATCATTCATTTTAAAAAGAATGAAACAGTGGCACACGTACTTCCTACCAAACTTCATCGGAACATTCTTGTTCACTAATCTCTGTCCCAGGGCACAATTTAATTGGTTATCGCATGCCACAATTCATCATAATTAGTTGCGTATTGCTAATATCCAATTTGAAACGGACTACTCTTGATGTATAATTTAGCTAATTAATTAATTAGTTTGATATCTAGCTTGTACGTAGTAGTCATCCTCAATGCTACGATTCATTTCATTTTGTAGTTTGGTTAGAGGCATTGGACACTCAAAAGCAGCTCTATTTGAAATGTGTAATGTTAAATATTCAATAGAATAATTTGACGGTTTATACATGGTGCACGTGAAAATATAAAAATGTTTAATTTTTTTTTTCAAAAGGTTTATAAGGAATATATTTTTGTCTATCTTTTTTTTTGCGTGCAACATTTGCCTTTAATGATTTCACTATGTACGCCAAGATACAATGTCAAAGACTCTAGGTGAGGCATACCCATCAAGAGAATAGCCACCTTATTAGTTTTGATTCCCTAAGGGACCATTTTGGAGAAGTGTTAAAACTGTGAAGGGCCAACTTCAACCCTTCACCGGCCAAAATCTCCTTCCAAAATTCTATAAATAAATTAATCATATTATCGGTCAGAACTTCACAAATCGTTTAATAGTTTACAAATTACACATGAGCTTTAAACTCTAACTGATTGGACAAGGGAACGAAACAAGTAATATCATTGATGATTTCATGTTGAGTTGATTTCTTTAGTTAATATTCTCTATAATTTGAGTTTTATCAGCTTTTTTTTTTTTAAAAAAAAAAGAAAATTGCAGTTTAATTTTATCATTTTATGTACCAAATCACATTTATCATTTTAATAATGGGTTATCATATATACTAATGGCTCCTTTATTTTTTTTCCTTGTTTTTGTTCCTTTAGTTAAAATTCAACTAATATTATCCTTAATTATTTACACTTAATGCAATGTCACGCAGACACTTTGCCACAAGCAATTATATGAACAGGAACCATCATTTTCACGCTTGCGCTTTGAATAATTGACATACTAACAACGACAAAATACAGAAAGTTTTCCTCGTAGTTGATGTTTCACTATACTATTCCCTCCGTCCAAATTGTGAATTTTGTTGAACAAAATGGTAGATAATTAAAATGAGAAGGGAAGAGTATAAATGATTATGCGAATCAACAAAATTGCTCCCTTACTTTTAACTACCATCCAAGAGTTTTTTTTTTTCTCTCTCATTATTTAAATCTGTTGAGGGTCATGTGGCAAGAATTATGACTCCCACATCGGAGGCATAAGGACATGTGAATCAGTTAATAAGTAAGGTGGACTCAGAACCCATAAGCTTGTTCTTTTGAGTTCAGATGGGTTTTATCCTATTTATTGGGCTCCATGTCGGGTTTTCTCCTCCAGATAAATCCCCAACAGTGGTATCAGAGCCCAGGTTGGGCCAGTTGGGTGGGTGATTTAGCCCAAATTATCTCGGTTGATCCGACCAACCTGGCAGTCAAAGGCCCACTACGAGCGGAAGCGTAGGGATGGGCGGCCCGCTTACTCAAGCGAGTCTGATTTGGGCTTGTCAAGATAATTTGGGCTCGATATGGAGATTGTCCATGACGGGGGAGAATGTTGAGGGTCATGTGGCAAGGATTATGAATCCCACATCAGAGGCATGAGGACATGTGAATCAGTTAATAAGTAAGGTGGACTCAGAACCCATAAGCTTGAGCGTTTGAGTTCAGATGGGTCTTATCCTACTTATTGGACTCCATGTCGGATTTTTTCCTCCAGATAAATCTCCAACAAAATCTAATATTCAATATTATTTTTTAATAAATTAGTGTGTTAGCTGCTAGGTACGTAGTAGTACACTAGAAGGGGGGGAAAAACCAAGAAGAAGAAGAAGAAAATTAAAATTCCATTTTAAAAGGAAATTCGTCTAAATGAGGTGACGAATTCGAAAGATGTTTAAAGGTAAAAGACACTTCTATCATGTGATCGTACAAATTTCATAATTCTAGGATTTCTTTCATAACTGTATCTTATGTTTTTACGGAAAAGACATTTTTGAACAACCGTTATATACACTTTTTTAGTGCATTGATTTAATGAGTATTCCCTTCAAATGTGGACGGTTAATTGTACAATTTTACCTAGTGCCATGGATACAAATGTTATTTACAGCATTAATCTTACAGTAGAATACTCAGGAGTCACAAGTAATTGGTGAGGATTCTAACCTTAACCGAATGAAAACCCACTTTTTTTTTCTTGAAGATTCCCACTTGAGCTGATGACATAAACTCCATTTTTTGCTCACTTTTTTGACGGTAACGGAGGGAATCTCACAAAATTGTCCTGCTTCCTAGTTGAAGTGTTTCATCAGATTCCTCCCATAAATTCCCTCTCCTCTAAGTATGGACACTATAAATACTCCCTCCTCGTACATTTTCCTCCATCATCGGAGCTCCATTTTCTCTCTGAAAAAAAAAACCACTCATTTTCCTTCACTTTTCCCTTCTGTGAAAAATGGCGCTACGTAGATCAATTTCCAAGCGTTTATTCTCTTTCAACCATTTCAAGTATGACAACAAGTTACCACATGTCGGAATTCCCGAACACTCCTCCCCGGCGATCAAATCCTCCTTGCTGGACTCCACCGGCGTTGCCCTAAAAACATTGCCGGAATTCTCCAACACCGGCTTGTTCCGCCGCTTCATTCAACAGAAGAGAGGGATCAACCAAGCCGCTCCGACCAAGTTGCCGGAGTTCCTCTCGATCCCCGTGGGCGACAAGCTGAGGGAGAAATTAAAGTCCCTCAATGTTTCCGGAGAACGGGTTCGGTTCGATGGAGTCTTGCATCAGGCCCCGCCGGTGCCGGAGCTGGGTGGAATCACCATTACCGATGCCAAGAAAATTCTAAGGTCAGCTCAGCTGGAAAAGATACGGTTAGTACTTAAAAATATTCCGGCCAACTCCATACCGTACAGTGATTACTTAAACATCTGCGGGGAAGCATGTGATCAGAATCGTGAACAAGCAACGGAATTTGCTAAGAAACTGGATGAAGCCGGAAGCGTCATCGTCGTCGGCAACGTTGTATTCCTTCGTCCCGATCAGGTATAATTCAATTCGAACGTTTAACAAACTACCAAAAAATCAGTTAAAGTTTAATTTGACCGACTCGAATCTGGATCAGTGACAATAATGATTTTGAACACGAAAAACGTAATATACTAAACAAAATTAAGTTAACCGTTACGATTAAGGGTATTAATGGGAAAAAAAAAAAGAAAGCTTAATGAGTCCGGTTGGTGAGACATACGTACCACGTTTCCTACCTGCATTTTTCTCCAACTGTCCTATGATGAGCGAAGATATTTCAAGCTTGAAATTCCACCTGAATAACGTGCCATATTTAAATTGTGACAAAGACATTGTTACACTGAATCCATCCAACAAAATATTTTGTTTCTAACAAACGGACAAATTTATTTCGTGCAATTATGTCACGAACTATTATCATAAACTTGCGTATTTGGATATAACTGTAACAGTGGTTATTTTAATTAATTTCAGGTGGCAACATCAATAGAGCAAATGATCTCACAAACAGTGGCTATAACAAATGATCCAAGGAGAAAGGAATTAGATGAGATGGAGAAGCAAAAGGCGATAATCGACCAAAAAGCCGAGGCACTTGTAAAGGGAGAGTTGTACTGTGGGCTGGGCTTTTTGGTGCTTCAAACACTGGGCTTCATGAGGCTTACTTTCTGGGAGCTGAGCTGGGATGTAATGGAGCCCATCTGCTTTTTCGTGACATCTCTTCACTTCGCACTTGCTTATGGTTTTTTTCTGAGGACATCTACAGAGCCCAGTTTTGAAGGGTTCTTCAGGCGTCGTTTTAAGGCAAAGCAGAGGAAGTTAATGAAGGTTCACAATTTTAATGTAGAGAAATACGAGGATTTGTGTCGGGTATTTTATCCTTCCTATTACGAGAATCAAGCATGGCCGTTGAAACAAATGAACAAAAACAACGATCATGGTAGAGGAGCAGCCTTGAGTTCAGTTTAGGATTAACTGTATATATCCCGTGACAAAGTTTGCAAAGTCACGTGTTAGCTCTAATTAGGGATTTGGAGTCCAGTAAATTAAAAGTTCGACTTCTATTTTGGGACGGTAAATGAATAATATATCTTAATCATAGTTACTTTACTAACGATGGTTATAGAATTTACTAACAAGATACACCAATTAATTCTTTTTTCTCAATAGTAATATTGTATCTGCTGACATGATTCATAAGATAAGAAAGATGAAACAAATCGATTGTATGAAAATAATTACTCCAATCTTTAATAAAACTGTTCTATCTTTATACCCTAGGTATAGTACAATTATTGTTCAATTGACATACCCACTCAGAGTAATGATATACTGCACGAAAGCTCAACTCGAAACCCGGACGCGAATGATCTGTCCTCCCGACTTAACCTCTTTTTGTTAGTTTTTTTTTTAATTTTATTTTATTAAAACAAATTAAAATTAAACCCACACCCTTATAAGAAATTTCACCATCTCCAACTAATTCAATCTCGTTTGATTCTCCATCTTACGTCTGAAATTCTTCAAATCAATCCTGAAATTAAACTCCTCAATATTTGATATACCCGCCTGCTGAAGGCCGCTTTCAAATGCCCAACAGAATCAGACAATTCTCTTCCTCGTTTTTGCAAATCTTTTTTCATGTGACACAAGCTGCAAATTTTAATTCTAAATTTTCAGGAAGGAGATGAAATCTGCTGTTGGAGACACTCTAGCTTGCAAAATATTTTTTTAATGCATTTGAATCCTTTGGGCTCCCATCTCAAAACCAATTGACAATGAGTGGGGTGGCCTTTGGCACTTGGGTCTTTGAACTTTTTGCTCAATGGACTTAGATCAGGACAAGAACAGAATAGCCCACGAGTCAACGCTCAAGTGGGAGAAAACCAGTTATACCGCTGAATCGGTCCACAACAAGCCCACGAGTCAACGCTCTAGTGGGAGAATGTCATGAACCGGCAATTTAAATTACTGTAGGAGGGTAATGATAATTTACTTTTACTGTTTTGGTTTTTATCCTTTTATTAGTCTGATGTAAGCATTCCTGCCATGTACGTTTCGTGAGCTAGAAGCTGCCAAAATCAACAGCTGTCACTCAAGCTCCTTCCTAGCAATTTCCCTGTAATCATGGTTAGGATGATTAGTCAGGTTAGCTATTAAATAGGAGGAAAGGTTAGCAGAAGCGGTAGGCAAAATTTTGAAGAAAAGATTCTTTTCTCTTCTGTCCTTTTCTGATCTCTTTTTCGCACCCTTTTCTTTTCTTTTCTTCTTCTTTAATGATCGGTCTTCAACTCTCTTTCCCCTCCTCTTTTCTACCCTTCCTAATTTGATCCATCAATCACAATATTAAAAAGACCGTTGCATCACATTTGGTATATCAGAGCTGACGTGTCCTTGGCTTTTGTGTAACGTTCAAATCGGGATTCCCACAGGAAAAGAAAGATTCAGTCTTTTGTATGAAAAACAATGGCAGAAACTAGGGCTAAGACCACTCGAGCCCTGGAAGAGCACGTGAAGAAACAGGACTTACAGCTTTTGGAAATTTGTGAATGGAGGAAGCAGATGGAGGAAAAATTGAGCAACTGGGGAAGTTTACTTGAAGCGAAGGTGGATAAACAGGCGACTCACTCTCAGATGATGTTGGCTCAACTGAACGAATTATTGCAGTTGATGAATGAACAGAAGAAGGAGAAAAAGGAGACTCCATTGATGGGTAAGGCTCATATAGCTTCTTCAGCAGGTATTCTACCAACTCCTGGAAAAGTGCCTAAGATAAATTTAGATGAAGAAGAATCATCTGGGAAGACAGTAATGAGTAAATCTGATAAGAACATGTGGTTGTCTCAACCAAGATTAGAGCTTCCAAATTTTGAAGGTAAAAATCCCAGAGACTGGGCTAAGAAAATGTGAAAAGTTCTTCAGTATATATGAAGTTTCTGATGAAAAGAAGTTAGATGCGGTTGAATTGTATCTAGATGGGAAGGCGGATAAATGGTACCAGAGTCTAAAAAGAGTTAAGTCAAAAATCTCGTGGGATGAATTTGAAATAGAGCTCATTAAACGATTTGGTGAGAAAGGAGGAAGAGATGATATAGAGGAGTTCAATAAGTTGCAACAAAAAGGTACTGTGTTGGACTATCATGAACGATTTGAAGAACTGAAATCCTTAGTGTTGTGCAAGGATCCTCATCTATCAGAGAAATATTTCATATCCAGCTTCATTAGTGGATTGAAGGAGGAATTGAAACCCATGGTCAGGCTGCTGGAACCATCAACCCTGCTTAGAGCCTTTGAAATTGCTATGATTCAAGAGCAAACGTTGGAATTTGCTTTGAAAGCTAAAGCAGGTATGGCTAGTAGCAACAAGCTGTTTCAACCCCAAGTAAGAAATCCTCATGTGATGAGGAACACAGCAGTGAAAGGAACAGGAAGTGAAGGTTTCAAAAGGCTGTCACCTCAGGAGATCCAATACAGAAGGAACAACCAACTATGCTGGAAATGTAAGGACAAATGGGGACCTGGTCATGTATGCAAGATCAAACAGCTTAATGTTATTGTGGCTGAAGATGATGAGGATCTGAGAGACCTTAATATAATTGAGGAAGGAGTTACTGATGCTGGCAATGTGGTGGTTATTCCTGAAGATCACATTCAAACAATTACTCAGATGGATGAATGTTGGGCAGTAAAGGAGGAAGACCGCAAGATAATTGTGATTATTGGATTCATTAATCAAGTTTTGATAAAAATCCTGATAGATACTGGAGCTTCGAGAAGCTTCATCAATGATCAGTTGGTCAGGAGAATGAGATTCCCAACAAGGACCATCAGGCCATTTATGGTCACTGTTGCTGGTGGTTATAAAATCAGGAATGATCAACTTTGTCCAGAGACTATTTGGTCTATCCAACAATATGATTTCCGGTTTGATCTCAAAGTGATTGATTTGGGAGAGTGGGACATCATACTGGGAACTGATTGGCTGTCAAGGTTTAGTCCCATAACCTTTGATTATGATCGGTTTACTATTCATCTCAACAGAAAAGGAGAAAGGTTCTTGTTGAAAGGAGAAGCCTATGAGACTCACAGGAGGATTGAAGATGTACTGGAAAATGTAGAGTTTCATAAGAGAAAGAGAGAGCAATGGCAGAGGGAACAAGAGATAAGGGTTGTGGAATATGGGAGAACCAGAAGAGCAACAGAGGCAGTAGGTTGGAATGCAGGTTGTTTATACACAGTCCACATTGAAGAAGTACCACAGGAGATTGCCTTTATTCTTAGGCAATATCAAGAGGTGTTTGCTGAACCAGTGGCATTACCACCTCCAAGAAAGGTGGATCACCAGATATGCTTAAAACCCGGAGCAGTACCATTCAAGTTGAAACCCTACCGGTACCCTCATGCCCAAAAAGCGAAAATTGAGAAACAAGTGGAGCAATTGTTGGAAAAAGGGACTGCTAGGCATAGTAATAGCCCTTATGCCTCTCCAGTTTTAATGGTTCAGAAGAAGGACGAATCATGGAGATTATGCACTGATTATAGGAAGCTTAATGAGATGACAATAAAGAACAGATTTCCAATACCTGTGATTGAGGAATTACAGGATGAGTTGCAAGGTGCTCAAGTATTTTCTAAGATCGATTTGCGGTCTGGCTATCACCAAATCCGGATGAAGGAGGAGGACATTCCCAAGACTGCATTTCAAACACACCATGGGCATTTTGAGTTTCTAGTCATGCCATTTGGCCTCACTAATGCACCAGCAACATTTCAGGCTCTAATGAATCAGGTATTTCAGCCCTACCTGAGGAAATTTGTATTGGTCTTTTTTGATGATATCTTGATTTACAGCCTCAATATGGAAGATCATGCCACTCATTTGACCATTGTTTTAAAGACCTTAAAAGAAAATGAGTTGTTTGCTAAACAAAGCAAGTGTCAGTTTGCTCAAAATTCCATTGGATATTTAGGCCATGTCATCTCAAAACAAGGGGTAGCTATGGACAGTGATAAGGTTTCTAGCATAGTAAACTGGCCTGTGCCTGCATCTGTAAAAGAACTGAGAGGTTTTTTGGGGTTGGCAGGGTATTATAGAAGATTTGTTAAGGGTTTTGGGGTCATTAGTAAACCTCTAACAATGTTATTAAGGAAAGATTCCTTCAAGTGGACTGCATCTGCTACCACAGCATTCGTAAAGTTAAAGGAAGCCCTCTCAACTGCTCCAGTCCTTCTTCTACCAAATTTCAATAAGCCTTTTGTGGTTGAGACCGACGCATGCGATCAAGGAATTGGAGCTGTGCTTATGCAGGAAGGACACCCCATAGCCTACCTCAGTAAGGCCATCAGTCCTAGAAACCAAGCTTTATCAATCTATGAAAAAGAACTTCTAGCATTGGTGATGGCAGTTGACAAGTGGAAACATTATTTATATGGCCACCATTTCATTATCAAGTCAGACCAACAGGCTTTAAAATATTTAATGGAGCAGAAGATCTCTACAACTATGCAACAGAAGTGGCTCTCTAAGTTGCTTGGTTTAGACTATGAGATCCAGTACAAGAGGGGTAAGGAGAATATTGTTGCGGATGCATTATCAAGGAGGAGACATGAGGAAGGAAATACTGAAAGTTTAAATGCCATTTCCATAATACAACCCCAATGGATTCAACAGATTGAAGAAAGTTATCTCAATGATGAAGATGCACGACTCTTGATAGCTACTGCTTCTTTGAGTAATGATTCCTCTCAAAATTTACAATTTATTCAAGGCATATTGAAGATGGATGGAAAAATCTATGTGGGTAACAGTTCTAATATCAGGCAGCAGCTTTTGCAACACTTCCATTCATCTTCACTGGGTGGGCATTCCGGACAGAAAGCCACTTACAACAGGCTGAGAAGTGTTTTTATATGGAAGAATCAGAAAGCAGATGTAGATAAATATGTCAAAGCTTGTGTGATCTGTCAACAACATAAAAATGAGCATTTGCCATATCCGGGGTTGCTACAACCCTTGGAGATTCCACAGGAAGCTTGGAGAAGCATCTCAATGGATTTCATAGACCAGCTACCTCCTTCTGCTGATAATTATGATTCAATTCTGGTGGTAGTGGATAGACTGACTAAATACGGCCACTTTATCCCCTTGAAGCATCCTTATGCAGCAAAAGACATTGCTGAAATTTTTTTCCGGGAGATATTCAGGTTGCATGGTATTCCTGATTCAATTATCAGTGATAGGGACAG